TAATTCGTGTTCTCCACACTATTTCCAAGTGTGATATATCCTCTGATTTCAACTTGGAAAATTAGTGTTCTTGAACTAGCCATTAAAACAGTTTCATTTTTGGTGCCAGGTGCCACCTGTGGTCACAATACTTGTTTTTTTTCCTACACCTCTCCCTAGCACCTCTCAATGAATCTTTCTTTGGCTTTTACCCCTTCATTATTCAAGGTGGCTTGGAGCTGTTAAACAGCATATGTTCAGTCAGAACTACAGGCTGCTTTAACTGGTTTATTTTTAACTTTCAGTCCTTTCTTGACTTAAGTAATTGCTCTTGAAAGCAGCTATTATCTAATTTTAAACTATGGACATTTAACCTCTCAGCCACCATAACAAGTATCTATTTAAAACAATCCAAGTAGCTGCAGAGTTGCGTAATTTTCATATGTAGCCCCATGAACCTGGACCTTTGTTCCTGGCTTTTCATGTGTCCATGCTGCGACTTTTAGATGATTTCTCTGCTTCGTAGTTTAGAAAGATATAGAATTTTTTTCCCCAGTTATACCTCAGAGTGGTCAATTTTAATGAAATAACCATCTCCTAAATTGCAAAAGGCAGAACTACCTGGGTTTGAATTTCAGATCCACACCTTACTAGTTTTATGATCTTTGGCAAGTTACCTGACCTCCCTATGCCTTCTCTCTAAAACAAGAAAATAGTCGTAATGTTTCATATAATATCTCATAAAAGTCCCTGTTTGGCTAGACCGTGAGCCCCGTGTCCTGTTTACTTCTGTCCTCCCGGGACCTAGAACAGTGCTTGCCATGAGGTAGGGCATGATAAACTTCTGTTAAAATTCAGCAAGATAATACATGTAATGCATTTAATACAGTGCCTGGAGCAGAGTAACAATAACAATGAAATGTGCTGAGGTGTTTTTTCTTGGCGTTGTTAAAGCTCTTCTGTTACACTTAAAAGATGACAGATTTTATTTTATAAATGTCTTTTGCAGAAGAAATATTGATCTACTACTCAGCCATTCTATATTGACCTCAGATAATACTCCTTACAATGAAATAAATTTGGCCTTTTTCTATTCTGTCTGCCAACGTAATTTCTGGGCTGACTCATGAGTATGAAGGAAAGAATAGATATTAAATCCTATTCCCTGAAGTTGTATTTGTGTGTTTTTAAATCAAACTGAGGCATAAGAACATTTGCCTCCTTTTAATTTTCCTAACAAGGAATACTCAAAGCTTTCTTTTCTGCAGTTTGCTCTAATTCTAAGAAAAAGAAACAGTATTTCTAAACTGCATTTGCATTTGTACACTTTGACTTAAAACATTTATTCAGCTGTCTGAGGTAATAGTTTAAAGAAGTGTATCTTTTTTCATTTCACATTTCATATAGATTTTTGTAGAGTTTTTATGCTTTCTGGAGGATTTTAGAGTTGAAGGAATCTCAGAAATCAGTTCATCTTTTTCACCACTTCATCTTACAAATGAGAAAAGTGAATAAAAAGAGAAGTTGAATGGTCCTAGCTAATTAGTGGCAAATGTAAGATGTAAAAGGTATTTCCTGAGCTTTCACTGATTTTTGTGCTACCTCCCTTGTTTAAAACACAAAAAAGTAGCAACTGAAATCTAACCATATATAAAGATGCTTCGGCTCCTTTTTTTTCCCTCACTCAAGTCTTTGTAGAGTTTACAGTGCTAAAATTTGAGCTAAATGATTGGAGAAATTCTATATATAACTTGTTCCAGTGAACATTATTCATTAATTTAATGATATAAACTTCCATAATAGCAACATGTTAGCAGAACTTGTTGGTTCTCTTAAACATATTGTTTGTACTGAAAATCAGCATGCATTTTGTTCACATAAAGTTTGGAATATATTTACTGTTTATGGAATAAATATTATATAAAACTTTCTCATATAGCTAGAAGAAGTCAATTAATGCAATGAAAATGGTTTTTGCGTTTGAGTGACTGCCTTAGTATAATTTAATGTAATATTAATATAGATTAAAGAATGGTCAGATAGCATTTTCAGTTGTTAGCAGTTTTCCTCTGTCAGCTTTTCTCTGCTTTTTTTATACTGTTGTCATCCATTTCTTAACTTTTATTCATGTCAGAAGGTTAAAATGACATAAGCATCTGCTATTGCAAAATTATTCTCATTTATCTACAACCATAAAATCTTGACGGATAAGTGGAATTATGCGTCCTACAGTTTTCAAGCTCCTCAATACAGAGAACCATAAGTTGCATGATTGTTTTAATGTCTAAGCATATCACTCTAGAAGTCTCTCTTTTCTTTTACAGCTGTTAGAAGAAGTTACAACATTCTTGAGGCAACAGTAATCATAGACATAGCTGTCTTGAATTTTTTAAAAAGGTTTTTAGGAAATAATTATATCTTCATTAAGTTTAAGTTTGAAATGTTGAAAACACATCACTGCATTTAAATGTCTTGCAAGTTTTCCTGAGCACTTCAACTTTTAGGCCTCTCTGCTAGGTAGAGAGAGGTAAGGACGAATCAGTTTTCATGATGGGACTGAACCTCCTTGCTCCAGTGTCAGTCAGCTGAAGAGCACCTGTCCAGAACAGAGGGGCACATTAGGAAGCATGCCAGAAGGAGATAGTAGAACCTTCCTGTTAGGCCTGTGTTCGCAGGTAACTATGAATTTATCCAATTAATAATTGTAGTGCAGAATACAAACTTATTCATCTTCTTATATAATGATTCTTGGAAATGTATCGATCAGAGAAGTGAGTAGCATACTTAGCTTTACATTTTAATATATATTCAAGAATACATACAATTGGAATACAGCCTGCATATTTAGGATAAAGAAGATTGCTATTTATAATATGAAGAGAAATGGTATCAACTTCACAGTAGCAGTGTTAACTAAGTGTGTAACTTTTCGTAATGACCTCGAGCAGCTCTCTAGAAAAGCCTTTTTGTACATTAAAATGTTTGACATTTTTGGTTTAGTTTAGTAGAATTCCTACTCATTCTTTTTCTCTGTCCCCTTTGCTTGGGTCGTCGGTAGGTTCAGTTTGTGTTGCAGTTAAGGTGTAATGCTGGGGCTAATCTCTGTAAAATGCTAGCATTTGTTCTTCTTTTTCCCTATCATCAATCTTTTACACTCATATCAAACCCCTAATGTATCAGCAGGTTTCCCAGCGCTACTGGTTAAAATTACCTTTGCTTTTGGTAAACTCTGAACCTTCAAGCCTCAGTGTTTCAGCTGCCCCCTGTGGATTCCGTGAAGCCTCTCTCTGCACATTCCTCACTGCCAGTCACTTGCTTTATGTCCTGAAACTAGGAGCCTGTGCAGAGCCCATTATTATTCCACTGTACCTAGCTTCCTTCCTTAAATGGAGAGAATGTGTAAATATTTCCAATAATTGGTGTCACTTATGTAAACTACAAGTGGGAATGTGGTTAGAACTCCCAAAGCTAGATAGCTTGAGTTTCCGTTACACAATAATAACACACATTCTGTCAGCCTAGCTGTTTCCCAAAGTTTCTTTGCTTTTCTGATACTATAGAAATTGGAAGATTTACCTATTTGTCTTCAAAGTAAATGCTGTAATTAATAACTTATTTCTGAAAGTTTGTCTCATTTTCTATTTGAAGAGTTCATATTTTATCTAATTTTTTATCCTCCTGTTTGCATTTTCTTTTTTTCACTTGTTCGCCTTCGTATGTACTTCCCTTTCGTCTATTCTAACAAAGACTATCTATTATTAGTAAAAATAGATTCTGATATAGGTAGGATTTCTTGGGTACATGATTCATGTTTTCACTTTGAGTACAGTATAGTTTCCACATATAACTATTAGGTTATAACTTTATTCTTTTGGAGAATGGAGTCCTGCCTTTGAGGCTAGAGCCTTGATTACTGGTGGAATCTTTGTTGTCCTGACCAAAGACCCCTGTTCAGTGTCATGAGTTAGTCTCATTAAGATTTACAGTAAGTACCTTGGGATTTCTTGAAAATTAATAGAAAAAGGAGAATGCCCTTTTCTCCATGAGTAGCAGCATATTTTTAGTAGCTCTTGCCTCAGATAAATAAGATTCCTAAATATTGTTCTCAAATTTTGATTTTCTATTTGGTGAAAAACCTTAGGCTAATAATGATGAAATAGCAACATGTAAGTTTGAAATTAAAGATACTTTGAAAGTCATTTTAATGTTTTTACACTTCAAATTACAATGCATATGCTTTTGTTTATTTTAAATGTTTAATAAATTTTAGCAATTTCTAAAACGGTCATTAAAAGAGAAAAACACATTAGCATATCAAAGCAAACAAGCAAGAACAAAAATTATCTAGAGTATCTTGCCTTTAAAAAGGACTCAGTAGTAGCAATAGCTGAGACACTTTTCCAGCAATGTCAGTACCCTTTTATGTGCTGTTATATAACCCTTTGATGTATAAAAGTCTGTTGTGTTTTTTCTAAAGTGGGAATAAGTGACCAAGTATTAACAGTTATATCACTTGTTAAGAGCCACACTATGTTCTAAGGGATGTTTCTGTAAAAGTTAATACATATGATTTATTTATACTCACTTTATTAAATTGTTTTATAATAATTTTGTTTTAAAATCAATTGTTATATTATCATGCTTAATTATTTGAAATATGCAAGTCTTATTTTTTTTAAATAGGGAAATAAAACTAATGTAATCACTTAAGTAAGTTTTCTTCTTACAATTACTTCTTTTCTCCCCTTAGTCATGCTCCCTATATTCTCCCTGGATTGAGCAAAAGGAAATAAAATTTAACTTACCGTACCCTCTTCAATATAGTATGGATGATATTGTGTAGTTTAAGGGTCAGGGAGAGTAAAGAAGAAATTTTAAAGTTTTTTATTCTCAAAAACAGTTTTCTGATCCTAATGAATTATTTTGTCGACATTTTTAGATTCAGAATTGTGTGTGTAATTTCCTACTGCAGCTGCATCTTCATTTTTTTACTCCTTGTTTTATGTGGTTTGTTTTTGCAGTGGGTACACCTTATTACATGTCTCCAGAGAGAATACATGAAAATGGATACAACTTCAAATCTGACATCTGGTCTCTTGGTTGTCTACTGTATGAGGTAGGTAATGTTGATAAATTCCATATATTGCTGCAGTTGTACTTAGTATATTTCCTCTGTGCTTATAGTATGTGCTTACTGTATTTCTGGGTAATTTTTAATTATAAAGAATTATTCATTAGTTTAATAACTTTTTATAATGGAAATTAATAACTGCACATTCCTACACATTTACTTCCTCTAATATATTTCTAATTGTGTTCTTTTGATGAGAATTTTATTTTTATCATGTTAACTTTTATGTTAATGTAATGCTTTTCTGTGTATTTTATATTTGTAAAAATATGCATAACATCTATGAATCTTGATGCATGCCTTGCAGAGAAGGTATAATGGATTAGATTTAAAATATGAAAGTACAGTAAATATCAATTTTTTATTTCACTTTTACATAGGTGTAATTCAGCATTAAAGATTATATGCAAACAGATAATTCTGCTAGGTTATCATTTAATTTCATTTCCATTAGTAATAATTCACACTGGTAAAGCTCAGTGAAATACTGTCTCTTTTGTTCTGCTGGTGATAATTTATCAAAGGAAGATGGAATCATGTAGGCAGATCCTCTAGAAATATTATAATGCAATAATTTAGATGGATAAAAGAAAGTATATTAGTAACACATTTTACATCTATGTTATGGAGCAGTGGTATGAAACAGTATCTCAAGCTAGTGAGTTATGTGATTTTGTTTTTTTAATTGAACGACAATTTTCCTAGGAATACAGCTTTGAGTCAAAGCTGTTGATTAATAATTAGTCTGCATCTAAGTAGTTTTTAATAAATGAAGAAACATAATACATATAATCATTTTTATGTCTTTATGTATATAAGGCAAATCTAAAGTGCATACATAGAAATCAATGCATTCTTACATATTTTGTGTTTCTTGCCCTCCTGACTTAAATGAAATATATGAGGAGATCATCGATTTTAATTGTGTCACCATTACTAAGAAGTAGAGCATCAGGAGGGTATTTTTAAAAATTATTTCATGATCTTTTATTATTTTACTGATTGTATGTTAAAATTTCCTTAATTTAAGGAACTTGAAATTATTTGTTTTGTTACTTACTAAAATAACTAATGACTATTTAAAATGAAAAGATGTTTAAATATTCTTAAACTTATCCCTAGTATAATTTTATTATGAAAAATATGAATTAATTATGTACCAAAATATGTTTTGTATGCACCAGAGATGTATGCTCACTATATTATATTCTATTAATATTTTGGTACAGCGCTAAAAAGAAGTGGTTTGATTATATTAAGTTACTAGAATGTTTTAAACTCAGTTACTTTGTGCATTTAAAATGTTTTATATCTGTTTAGGTAACTTAAGATTACTTTAGTTCATAAGCTAATATTATCAAAGCAGCATTTTCTATTAAAGTCCCTAAAAGTAAACAGCAAGTTGGTTTCCAATAACACGATTAAATTAAGCAATAAAAAGAAAAAGTTCAGGTGAGATAAGTGGTTTTGGGGAGGGAGAGAGTTAGCATAAATCTTTTAGGGTTAGCAGACTCATGTCAAAACTGAAATAATTGATCTCATTTTGAATTTGCCGTTGAGAGGCAGCATACTTAAAATGGTCATCAAAATAAAAATTATTTCTTTGGACACTCCTGCATCCCTGAGTTATATATGTTGTGGTGATTTAAAATATTTATCTTGCTAACATGAGTTCTCATCGCAGTATATTTTCTCAATTCCTCCATGCAAGTCTTTTGGAAGAATTAGAATTGTTCTTAAGATTTAATTTACTTTTATGTTCTATCTCCTTTCAGTTATGTTTCAGTAGGATGTTAGTAGAAATACCTAGCAATTTAGCTTTTAAAAATTGGTCATCACATCACATAGATATTTTATACTGTTTCCCATAAGAAAGGACTATTAACAATGAAGGAGTAGGAAACCTTTTTAAAATGTATTTTAAACTCAAAAAATTAGACTTTCAAATATTCCTGAAACCTTAAAAAAAAAAAAAACTAGCAGTACGGTTTTAATTGATATGCAACAAAGTAGACTTTACTAATTAAAATCAAGATGCTGTGCTTTTGCTACACGGACCTTTACATGGAAAAGTAGGTTTTACACATTTCCTTTATTGTTCAGCGCAGCAATTGCATCCTTACAGGGTTGTAGGTTGGTGGCTTACAGTTCAAAAAAAAAGAGAGCTGCCACCAGCCCCGAAGACAGACAGTGGGCTTTCGTCCCTCCGACACCCCCAGAATACTAATCAGGAAAGTCAGACCCTGGAGGTCAGGGAGCAAGTCAATCATTCTAGCGATCGTCTCAGTGTGGAGGATCAAATTAGCCTGAAAAATTCAGCTGCTGGGAGGAGAGGGCGAGCAGCTGTCAGGGGCAGCATCGAGATGCACTAATGAACCAGATGAATAGTGCAAAAGCTTGAAAATAAAAACAGGACAGTTGACATTTTTCATCTGTCAAAGCAGGAGATGCATGAAAATATACTATTCTTGTTTAACTCCTTAGGGGACGTTCAGATTTTTTTTTTTTAACACTGCAGTACTGAGAAAAAGGACCATAATGAACTAGCATAGGATAATGAATATATGTACATTTACTTAAGTTCAACAAACAGGGCGAGACTATAGTTTATATATACATTGTATTTTTTAGGTAACATTTTTGATATTCCTTTTAATCATAAAGTGTCCTTGCATTTAAAACAAAAAAATGTGATTATTGATGTAGTTCTTTTAAGAATTTCCTCTCAGATGGAGTATTTTATATGATTAGTGACATTCACATTGTTTTTTACTTTTTTCTCTTCATGTAGAACAGCTATTCCTAAGGGAGTTCTCTATAGATATATGTGGGCATTATATAAAACATAAACTAGGTAAAAATTTGTCAAACTACTTTCTAGGTTTGATTTCCAGTCCCATCTCCTCCTCGTCCAGGCTCTGAAGGAGTTAAACCTCTGTCTGGAGCACAGAAGACAGATGAGAGCCATTTTCAGCTTGTCCTGTCCCCACTGACGCTCACTGAGTAGCACAGCATGGACTAGCGTGTTTCACACACACTCTGCCTGTCTGGGGAATGTACACATTGTCCTTCCAAAATCAAACTTATTAGCACATGTAGAAAAGGGTGACTGACTTTGGGGCAGCCTGGCACTCCGTGTTGTATTCTTGTTGCTGCGGTTCAAAGATTTAGAAGGTTTTGAACAGGATGCGAACATTTTAAATTGAATTTTTAGTTTGTAACCCTGCTTACCACTATACTTGCTTGCACTTTAAATGTCAAGTTAGAACCTTGTCTTAAAATACATTTAAATTCAATAATGTCTTTTTTTAAATTGTTCATCCTTTGAGTCGTGTTTTTCTGCATAAAAATCTCATTTGGAAGCCTTGAATCGCAACTAGAACTTGCAGAGCTTTTGAACATATTTAGTATTTTTGAAACTTTATCAAAAGAAAAGAAGTTCTAATTCATTGTAAACTATTTAAGGATTGGTTATAGCATTCAAATTTGAGAAGCCTTTTTTTTTTTCTCAGAATATCCTTTCTCTGCAGAAACTATTACACAAGATAAAATGCTTTATTCCCTAAACCATTGCTAGCTTATAATTCAGTTTTAGCTTCAGTTTTATCTTTTTTACATTTTGACCATTACATAGTTGAGCTATACCTTGTGATATCTGTTTTGTCATGAGATATGCTAGTTGTTTTTAGGACATTACATATACAAAGAGTTTTTAAGTTATTATATATTATCTTTCTTAATATTGTTTTATGTCACATATAAATATGCAGAAATATTCTAACCATTTTCATTTTAGGGAATTTTAAATGTTGGATAAAAAATACCCAAAAGTTGAAGTTAGAATTTTTTTTGGCACTTACTGAATATTCTCTAAAAGAGCTATTGGTAAAAATCAAAATGTCCAAATAACTTTAAAGTATTTGTAATTATTTTCTATACTAGTGTAGTATACTTGATGAAATCACCTTTAAAGTTGCCATGTTACTATATCAGTTTCATTGGGAGCATTTTACAGATGGCTGCATTACAGAGTCCTTTCTATGGTGACAAAATGAATTTGTACTCGCTGTGTAAGAAGATAGAACAATGTGACTATCCACCTCTTCCTTCAGATCACTATTCAGAAGAAGTAAGTCATTTTCAGTCCATGTGTTCATCTGTTGTTCAAATTTTGGTAACATTTTTGATTAAGAAATGTTACTTTATCCAGAAATACAAATGAATAGTATAGGTGGCAGAAATAGCACTTTTTATTCTGTTTTCATTCTCTTGGAGACTTGCTGTTTAAAGAGTTGACGCTGCAATTCATAATGTATAGTGGAACACAACACAGCGTGAGGTGTAAAATTGGCCACTTCCTAGTGGTGATAAGGATAGTAGCTGACTCTACAGAGTACTCAACACAGCAGAGGGCAGAATTAATGCTCATACCTAGAATCTAGTTAATCAACATGTCTAGTATCCTTTCTTAACAGGGCTAACTCTTTATTCTCACTATCTCAGACCAGCAAACAATTATAACTTTCTGTTTTGGCAGAACTTTCCTCTAGTTCATGTTTTCCAAAAACTGAAACATACTTCTCTTAGCTAAATGTCTATGAATCTTATTCTTTAAGCTTTACCCTCTTTCCTTTGACAATATCCATTTTATCACCACCTTATTGCTACAGTCAGATTTTGAGGGAGAAATGTTTTGAAGTTATTATTGTAGATATGTTAAAAATGTTAGATATGGTTGAAATTTTTAGTAAAACTTTTCTTTATGAAGAACTGAGTCTGAATCATTGCTTGCTTTGGTAACTCACTGAAATGAGTTGTCTTAACTCCACCCAGCATTCAGTTTTTCATTGAACAAAACATCTCTCATTTTAACCTAATGCATCATGATTTTGCCAATATTTAAGGAGAAGGTATGCAGACTAACAGTGTCTCAGGTCAACCAAAATGTTTCACATAAGCTTTTTTTGGAATGCTTATCAGGGACCTACCCAGAGAAAACAGTGTCTTGACTTAGGACATCTCACCTTCTCATGAGCAACAGATTTTTGCCCCAGGAAAATGGAAAGGAGCAAAGGAAAATTATAAAACAATTATAATGTTCACTTATTAAGTAATCTTGTCAGTCTTTCTGCTGTGAATCAATCGCATTCAGTTTTAGGATTATATAAGGACATTTGAGTCTGTATAACTTGAATAATAAATATCTCTATAGAATTTTTATCACATGTAAAGCATTTGTGTTCCTAGAATGTATTAAGTACTTTTTCTTCTAGTAGTTTCAATGCTGATAATCAGTGATGCCTAGTTTTTTGCTCCATAGCATTTGTATCCAGGTAATTAGAATAAACTCTTACAAAGGAGTGATAATAATTTAGAAGTATTATCTTTATTTGATGTTAATGCTGTTATGTTAGGCATTTTTAATTACTATTTTGGGTGTAGACTATAAATATGGCATTTCACAAAACCAACTTCAGAACTATAGGCCTGGAAATACAGTGGGGTGTGAACAATAATGCAAAATGATAGCAAGAATGTCAGGGGCCTTTCTTTGTTGTGTCATTCATGCTGTCTTCTTTTTTCCATGAAGCGCATGAATATTTCACATATCTGCATCCTCATCCCCTATTCTTCTTGACTAATTTTCAGACTGTCTGAATTTGCATTTCACATGGTAGCTGATTAGGAGATGCCGAGTGCAGCAGTGAAGCCTCAGCAGGCGGTTACCATGGTGACCTTCAGCAGGATTTTAATGATGATACCACTAGTGGTTCGTTGAAGTCGGCCTGCCTGCAGGGCTACTTCACTGCAGCTAAGTGTGAAGTTGGATATGCGGATTCTCAGCCAAGGGGCAAATATCAAAGTCTGGCCCAGATAGAAGGTCTTAGAGTTGGGAAAGGAAAATAGATTCCACTTTTTACTTCACTCTATATAGTTACCAGTTTCGAAAAGAACTATAAAGCAAAACATGTTATATGGTATACTTTCCAAAAAAACAAAATCAGTGCAATTCCTCATATTGGTAAAATCTGTTGTCATGCCCTGATGAAATAGAAAGCTATACTACCTTGGTAAATATGGAAAATAATTCTTACTGAAGAAATGAATATAAAAATATGCAGACTATATAACAATGTAACTTTAATCTGTTCAATTATTTAGAAGAGTTCTCAAAACAGGAGCTTTGAAATGTAGATGTGCTAATAAATATTTTGTCTCCTTAAATAGGAACTCAATTTGTTTGTAAAATAATTATTCAGAATTCATGGTAACAAAAAGCCCAAACAGATTTGGTGCTGCCATAATATCCTAAATATTTTTTTGTAAGGTAGGTTCTTTAGATCTTTTACAAATCTGAATTGCCAGTTAATTTATTAGTATGACAAAATATAGAAATCAAGGAAAAGTAAAGTACAAAGTTTTTCAACAGTGAACTTTTAATTAAAAGACAGTTGGTTAAGTGCCAGTTTTATAGCTGTAGCTGTTTGAAAAATAAAAAATGTAAGCAAATTAACATACCAAATATGATTTGAAAGCTTACCAGTTTTACTTAGCTACTGCTAAATTTTTAAGGCTACTTCCCAAAGAAAATTTGAAGGCAACATTTCATGAGAATACTAACTATGCCTGCCAATCAACCTCAATTGATAGGAATCCAAAGGAATCCTACAGGATTTATGTCTAGATATAGTCATTCCATTTGGAAGAAATCGGAGTTTAAAAGACTGAATTTTTTTTTCTTTCTTATATTCTAAAACATAGATACAGTTAAGCATTAAAATCAAAAATGAAAAGTAGTATCCTTTGGAAAAATAAACTTATGCAGCAAATCTTTTCTTTTGAATTATGCTGTAATTAGTATGTACGTATGATTAGTGTTATTCTATTTATACATGAGTGATATTAGGAAATGTGTATTTTGTGGCTTATGAAAATACTTTTCTTTCTGAAATTTTTTTCCTGATAATAATCTCATCCATGTATCAATGAGGAATTGCTATATTTAACAAAAACCTTAGGCTGAAAAGAGATTTCTTTCCTTAGATGTCTCAGTTTAATTTAACTTGCTACTGTTGGTGACAGTGAAACAAACATTTAGTGAAAATGTACTATGTACAAGGAATGATGATTCAAAAGGTCTCTCATAATCAGACTTGGGCTCTTCTCTCAAGGATTATTGATCATGGGACACTCTTTTTTTTTTTTTTTTTTGAGTTGGAATCTCACTCCATTGCCCAGGTTATAATGCAGTGGCACGCTCATGGCCACCCCAGCGTCGACCTGCTGGGCTCAGGCAATCCTTTCACCTCAGCTTTCCAAGTAGCTGGAGCTACAGGCGCGTGCTACCACGCCTGGCTAATTTTTGATTTATTGTAGAGACGAGGTCTCCCCAAGTTGTCCAGGCGGGTCTCGAACCTGCTGGCACAGACAATCCACTCGCCTCGGCCTCCCAAAGTGCTGGGATTATAGGCTGAGCCACCGAGTCCAGCCGATACTTCTTTCTCTAACTCCATCAATGCAAGTTCTGCTAGGAGTTCCATGAATTTTCGTGTTTTCACAGTTGTTGTTTTCTCTTTCTGAAATACCTCTTTTTCTGTTCTTTGCAAGGAACATTCATTCTCTTCCATTCACAGCTTGGACATAAAGTTTTCCTGCATAAAGTTTTCTGGCCCCTTCATTGTCTCCCCATACCCTCCTCCCTTGGCAGTCACACTACATAGTAGTAGCTTCCCTGCATGGGTGCCTCCCCTGCCAGACTGTCAATCTCCTGCTCTTGAGGACCACTAACTCGGCTTTTTATCTGTGTATCTCTAGGGCCTGACACATCTTAAAAGGTTCAATAATTGATTGACTGATGACTGATAGAGGGAATGAGAGATGGAAGGAATAAGTTTTAAAAAAGAGTAGATGAATCAATAAATGACAATAGAATGAGTGAGAGAAACTTCTCCTAAGAACTCTCTTTCTAGTAAAGCAGATGATTACTCACAAGATAGGCTAGAGGATGTGAGAGTTTTCTTTATTGATATTACTTCCTATTGATATTACTTTTAAATAAGCAGCATCATCTCTGAAATATCCAGTGTCCATTTACTGGGAAATAAGATAGACTATTTTCCTCCAGTTTCACTATTTATTTGCGAGACACTGGAGTAGTTATCAGAATTATGCATTTATTCACTAAATTATCTAATGAGACTCCAAGTTAAAAAAAAAAAAGAATAGTTATATTGATAATTATTTAGAAAATTATAAAATGTGACTCCTGAGTTAATTCTTTTTTAACAGATACATTCTTAAAAATCTGTGCATTAATTAACAAAATATAGACTTTGTTTCCTTAAGTACTTTTTATTTGTTATTTAAAATTCATAGTTTAAATAGTGAAGACATAAGAAAGGTTGAATAGAATTGTGCCTCAGTGGCTGCTTTTAACAGATTTCTTTTCATTGTAGGTTTTAGCAGAGCGGTTTGGAAGAAAGTTCTGAAAAGAGGAGTACAGGGTTTGCAGATGAAAGTGTAAGAAATGGAAATGAGAAGGAAGGATAAAGGGCCATCTTGGTTCAAGAAAATAAGCAGGGACAAATTACTCGGAGGCCAGGCTTGGTGGCTCAGCCTGTAATCCCAGCACTTTGGGAGGCCGAGGCAAGTGGATTGCCTGAGTCCGTGGATTCGAGACCAGCCCAGGCAAATTGACGAGACCTTGTCTCTACAATAAAAAATAAAAAAGAAAAAGAAATTACATCGAAGTCTTAAAAGCAATGCTTTAAGTAAAAAAGAAATTTAAGCACTTACAAAACATTGGAAAGATGGCTAAAGTCTTTTCAATAGACTGTGTTGTTATAACAGCTTGCTGATATAAATGGATTGCTGTAGCAGATGTTTATTAGTAATTTTACTGTAAATATGAAAGACTCTTGAAGGACACATATTTGTGATTATTGTGATTGCCCTCTGATTATATTTTGAAAACTTGCTAGTTTAGTAAGTCTCATTACTGCTTTTGATGGGTAAAGAAACCAACATAATGTGATTTTGAAATTAGAATTATTACCTCGGTAATTAGTTTTCACATGACAGTCTCTTTTGTTTTACATTAAATTTCTGTTCATTTTGTGACTTTATACT